ATTTGCTCTCTCACCTTAACTTGATTACTCTCAGTAATCTGCTTTTACATGTGTGTGTGTGTATGTGTGCGAGTGCACGTATGGCAGCTCTGCTTAAGTAACCTGAAGCTTCCTCTCCTACCACATTCCCACACAAAGACACACACACAAGAAAACACACACTTTACACAACCCAACCCCCTCACGCCCTCTTCTAGACATTTACCATCCCATGGATATATGTTAAAACCATGGCGTGCATTGGCCACCTCTTGCTGTAATTAAATTCAGTCATAATGAATCATAGCGCCTAATCCTAAAAAAGCCTATATTTCCACAGGGAATAAAAATGACCTACATGTACTGGGAAATCTCTTATAATAGCCTTTTTTTACTATTACTCCCTTACTTGGCATTGGCTCTGAAAGCATGGAAATCACACACAAACTTCACTTTGAGTCGTGTTGAAATGTCTATATCAGGGCTCTTCTGTTTACATATGTAAACTGCATATCACACAGGGCATCGTCTAACAAAATCAGGTGGCAGCTAAAAAAGATGTATCGCAAGTCAGGTCATAGCTTGCAAGCCTTTAATAATGTGGTCAACTCTTTTATTTTTTTATGCTTTGTGAGTTGAATAGCAATACGATGTGGCTCATTGCTCTGTGGAGAGAGAATCCGTGCATACAGTAGTAACACGAGGCTATTAAGGTATTGTATGAGCCAGTCATCGGGCTAATGTCGGTGATTCACTATGGTGCCTCTGTACCTTTTGCCCATGGAGGTGTATTTTATCATTTGCCGACCGTGTTGGTTGCAGCCCAAGATGCTGTCACCGCTTCATTGTATACAAAACTACGCTTGGCAGCAGGACAACAGAGATAATGCGCACTTTGTTTTCGTCCGTTCAATAGCCTCAGAGAAGAAGTAGGGCTCTTGGTTATTAGGATTTCTATCTTTGATTTGCAAGTGTTGAATTCACTGGTGTATTTTTAATTTATTTGCACATAGATGACAATTTGATCACAACATGTAAATATTTGAATTCCATCTCCTGCCTCAACTATCAATGTTGTGACAACAACATATTTTTCACCTTGGCAGATTGGATGGTGTTTTTTCGGTACAAATATATTCCCTCCTCCATTGCATAAGGCGCCTTTCACACCTGATATTGACATATGATCTTTATCAGGATAATAACATACAGGCCAAATCCCCAAGTCCTGCATTTACTACAGGTGTGGATAAGCTCTCTATACTTCCTGATTATGCTCAGCTGACATTCCACATCCCAGGTTAGGAGAAGCCTAAGCCAACTTTTAAGATATCCAATCACAATGCAGGCCTAACCCCCACTAGGTATGGTCCTACTAATCTCAAACTGTCACAATGCATTCTTTATGCATTTACACTGCATTCACATGTTTTTCATAGATAACATATTTGGTTATAATTTAAAATATTGGCACATTGAAATGTTGACCTTATGAAGAGGCTAGTTATCACAATTCAAGCTAAGGAGGTATGGATTTGAACTACATTTCAACGTATTTGAAACCAATAGTTCATGGAATGCAATGTGCCTCCCTTCATCTGAGGTACAAGCAACAGCTTTACATTTAGATTTTGAATGCTTCAATGAACAAAATTAGCCCCCCCATGTTTACCCCACATGACTAATTTAGGGATCCACTCAGGATCAGAACTTCAGTGCCCGAGGGTTAATTCATGAAATTCCTGATCAAAGCAACTGTATTGGAAAGAGCTGGTGTGTGGATCAATTCTCTTTTCATTCTCTTACCCCAAAGCTTTCATTCAATTTCAGAGAAAACAGGGATAGGTGGATCTTTGGTAGTGCTGATTGTTATTTGTTCTTTCATACTGGCCTCAAGATTTGTGTATTAATCTTTCATGTGGGATGCTGTTTGTGCTTCTCATTTTCCTTTCTTTCTACACTATAAAAGGAATGTGTACATACAAATTACTGTAAAAGTGATGTGTTTTCTTACAATTGTAAAGCCTCCTCTACAGTACTTACAACCAAAAGGACATTTAAGCTGGTGATAGGTCAGGGCCTATATACATAGAATGTATACTAAAGGTGCAAGACAACTTATCTCCCCTCCATTTAGACTACACTTCAGTCCATGTACAGTGGGGCAAAAAAGTATTTAGTCAGCCACCAATTGTGCAAGTTCTCCCACTTAAAAAGATGAGAGAGGCCTGTAATTTTCGGTATACCTGAACTATGAGAGACAAAATGAGAAAAAAAAAATCCAGAAAATCACATTGTCTGATTTTTAAAGAATTTATTTGCAAATTATGGTGGAAAATAAGTATTTGGTCAATAACAAAATTTCATCTCAATACTTTGTTATATACCCTTTGTTGGCAATGACAGAGGTCAAACGTTTTCTGTAAGTCTTCACAAGGTTTTCACACACTGTTGCTGGTATTTTGGCCCATTCCTCCATGCAGATCTCCTCTAGAGCAGTGATGTTTTGGGCTGTCGCTGGGCAACACGGACTTTCAACGCCCTCCAAAGATTTTCTATGGGGTTGAGATCTGGAGACTGGCTAGGCCACTCCAGGACCTTGAAATGCTTCTTACGAAGCCACTCCTTCATTGCCCGGGCGGTGTGTTTGGGATCATTGTCATGCTGAAAGACCCAGCCACGTTTCATCTTCAATGCCCTTGCTGATGGAAGGAGGTTGTCACTCAAAATCTTACGATACATGGCCCCATTTATTCTTTCCTTTACACGGATCAGTCGTCCTGGTCCCTTTGCAGAAAAACAGCCCCAAAGCATGATGTTTCCACCCCCATGTTTCACAGTAGGTATGGTGTTCTTTGGATGCAACTCAGCATTCTTTCTCCTCCAAACACGTCTACAGTAGTTGAGTGTTTACCAAAAAGTTCTATTTTGGTTTCATCTGACCATATGACATTCTCCCAATCCTCTTCTGGATCATCTAAATGCTCTCTAGCAAACTTCAGACGGGCCTGGACATGTACTGGCTTAAGCAGGGGCACACGTCTGGCACTGCAGGATTTGAGTCCCTGGCGGCGTAGTGTGTTACTGATGGTAGCCTTTGTTACTTTGGTCCCAGCTCTCTGCAGGTCATTGACTAGGTCCCCCCGTGTGGTTCTGGGATTTTTGCTCACCGTTCTTGTGATCATTTTGACCCCACGGGGTGAGATCTTGCGTGGAGCCCCAGATCGAGGGAAATTATCAGTGGTCTTGTATGTCTTCCATTTTCTAATAATTGCTCCCACAGTTGATTTCTTCACACCAAGCTGCTTACCTATTGCAGATTCAGTCTTCCCAGCCTGGTGCAGGTCTACAATTTTGTTTCTGGTGTCCTTTGACAGCTCTTTGGTCTTGGCCATAGTGGAGTTTGGAGTGTGACTGTTTGAGGTTGTGGACAGGTGTCTTTTATACTGATAACGAGTTCAAACAAGTGCCATTAATACAGTTAACGAGTAGAGGACAGAGGAGGCTCTTAAAGAAGAAGTTACAGGTCTGTGAGAGCCAGAAATCTTGTTTGTTTGTAGGTGACCAAATACTTATTTTACCGAGGAATTTACCAATTCATTCATTAAAAATCCTACAATGTGATTTCCTGGATTATTTCCCCCCATTCTGTCTCTCATAGTTGAAGTGTACCTAGGATGAAAATTACAGGCCTCTCTCATCTTTTTAAGTGGGAGAACTATTGGTGGCTGACTAAATACTTTTTTTCCCCACTGTATGTCCTTCCAGTAGATATCAATTCGACACAGCTTGAATCCAGTTCAATGTAGTGGCTCCAGAGAAGTTTGAAGGATTTCTGTGAAGATAGCCTGTTCTTGGAACCGAGCCCATTCATTTTCTATGGAGGAGATGAGTTCATAGTCTTGACAGTGTTAAATGATGCCAGGGGGCTAAGGCTATGCAAAGATGATTCAGAGATGGATTGGGCTATGATCTAAAGTTCTTATTGAATTTGGCTTTTGATATCCCTCACAATGAAGAATGCGTCAGGACTCAGGAGAATGATTTTCTCTTTTCTTTGTGGTTCAAGACTAAATATATTCAACACTGGAGGGATTGTTTACACATCAAAAGTCTTCCTTCCCGAAGGCCCTCTCATGTTGGGGTTTAATAAGGTATTTTATTGTAAGTAGTACTGCTTGTTTGAGTTGTTTATAATCCCTTTGGATCGTATCAGCACTGCCGGTAGTATAAAAGATTTGGTATTATCCTCGTGTTTTCTTTCTTTCTCAACAACACATCCTCTTCGATCACATTGTATAATCCAGGTAGGCTTTTTCATTCCTTCCCCGAAGAATGAAAGGAAGTATTGAGTCACAGGGCTCAGGATTGGTTCTATACTTCAATGCCATGTTGGACATGTTTGTTGGTTATGGAAAGATGGTCCTTCACAGAGAATACAAGGGAAATAGAAAGCTGGGAAAAGGTTGCTTTTCTGAAAGTCTAGGTCAAGTGATGACTACCTGAAGAAGGTCACATTACCTGAGTCAGTCATGGGTGGGTTTCCATTAGCTACCTTGGATTTAGTCAGTGGTAAATTGTTAATTTCTCCATATTATGTAAGTCCTTAAAATCTCAGGATTTTAAGATTTACAAATTAGCACAATTTCTGTATTTGTTGCGTGATTTCACTTTTTATTTTCAAAACCCGGCAAATGAAAGCTTTAGCGCAAGTTCAATAAGGAAGACCTAACTCGAGTCACTCACACGTCACTCTATGGCTCCCTTCCCCCCTCATTAAATATGAGGGCGTCACGCCTCAGCAGCCAATCGCTGCACATGCTAAATGCCTTAAATACCTGCTCTTCCTCCCTGTCAGTTGTCATTGCAGATGATCACACGCAGTAGCAGTACTTCTCTACTCTTTCTCGTGAGAAAAAAAAAAAAACCCAAAACAAAACCTAGCTCAAGATGTCCAACTCGGACAATTCAGACGAACCTGGTATGGAAATCTTTGATCCCGGTTCGACTCTCCACAGCGGCCTATCACCAGAGGCAGACTTCCTCATCGCCCGACTCCGGCAGCAGGGCATCCCCACAGCCCCAGGCCTCACTCTCTCGCAACTTCGAGAGCTCTCGGATCAGGTCTCCAGCTCAGCTCCCCAGCCCGAGGCAGCAGCCCCAAGCAGCTCCCCAGAGAGACCAGGGCGAGGACGCGGCCGCAGCCGCGGAGGAAAAAAACGCAGGAAATCGAGCCCTCCAGGACCCCGTCCGCCTCCCAAATCCACCCCTTCTCAGGCTCACCAGGCCGGGAGCGGGGAAAGTAGCGTGGTCGGCGCCCTGCAATCCCTCAATAGCTCCATAAGAGCCATCGATGCTCGCCTCCAGGCCCTGGAAGACTCCGGCACAGGAGCGTCAACTTCCGCCGCATTCAGAGCAGCGCTCGCTGCCTCAGTCCCGCTGGGGTTGCCAGGTCAGGGTTTTCCACGCATCCCAGTGGCAGCTCCTCCTCACTCTCTGGCTTCAGCCCTCCCAGCCCCCCCTGCAGGTAGGCCTTTTATTTCTCAAGCCGCTAATATCTCCTCACGGCTTAGGTCGAAAATTCTTGAAGGGAAGGATGTTAACTTGCTTAGCCTTATCCTGCCCTCCCCAGAGTGCGATAAAGCCATCGCCACAGGAGGAGACATCACCGCCGTCTTTAAAACCGCAGACCCCAGGCTTATCAGAGATATCAGCATAGGGCAATTCATGGTAGCTTTCGGCATCTTCCGTGACGTCATCTGCTCTGTCTACCCTGAGAGAAGAGCAGAATTAGATACGTACATGGCCATCATCGGGGACATCAACCTTAGATACGGGAGATCCATCTTCTATCAGTACCATAAAAGCTTTTCTAGTAAAGCAGCGCTTCACCTAGCGCATAGCAATATCCGCCTCGACTGGTCAGTGATGGACATCGAGCTGCTCGTGATGGCTACCGGCGGGCAAACCGCTATTTCTTGCAACAGCTGCGGAGCACAAGGCCACATCGCTGTCCTCTGCCCCTCAGTGCCTTTCTCCGCGCCCAGAGCCTCCCACACGCAGTATACTGGATATGATAGAACAAACCGTCAGGTGCAAATGAGACACGAAGACAAAATCTGCGCTAGATTCAATGAAAATGTCTGTACTCAACCTTATTGTTCATTTCTCCATATCTGCAGTTCCTGCAGGGATGCACACCCGAAGTCCGTGTGCCCCAGGCGCAGCCAAAACCTCTCAGTAGCTCTGCGCCAGAAACCTCGTGGTGGAAAAACATTCTAAAACATCACCCCTCCACTCCCATTAACATCCCTCAGCTAGCAGCTGCGCTATCCAACCACCCAGATTCCGTTTTCGTGGACTATCTCCTGTCAGGGCTCTCCCAAGGCTTCAGGGTAGGGGTCCTCTCATCTCCCACAGTTACTTTCGTAGCAAAAAACCTACAGTCAGCCGCTAAAGAACCCAACATAGTTTCCCAGCTCATCGACAAAGAACTCCACAAAGGATACATAATCGGCCCCTTTAGCTCCTCCCCCTTCCCAGTGTTCCGTTCAAATCCCATAGGAATAGCCACACGCAAATACTCTGGAAAAAAAAGGCTGATTTTCGATCTGTCCGCTCCCCGTTCCGGCACATTTTGCAGCGTCAATAGTATCATCCCTCCAGAGCAGTTTTCCCTTCACTATGCCTCAGTGGACAATGCAATCAAATTGATTAAGTTCACAGGGCACGGAGCGTGGCTCTCCAAAGCGGACATTACCGATGCCTTCAAAATCATTCCCATTCATCCGTCTCAGTGGAACTTGTTCGGCATTAAGTGGGAGTCCAAATTCTATTTCGCCGTTCGCCTGACCTTCGGGTGCAGAAGCAGCCCCTGCATCTTCAACTCCTTCTCGGAAGCGCTCTGCTGGATCCTGCTGAACATCGTCAGAATCCCCTCCGTCCTTCACCTACTGGACGACTTCCTCCTCATAGACCCGCCACAGGACAGCTCAGGGACCTCACTGAGCAAACTGAAACACTGCTTTCAGGAGCTAGGCGTCCCCCTCTCCAATGAAAAAACGTTAGGTCCCAACACATGCTTAGAGTTCTTAGGCATCACCCTTGACTCCATAGACATGAAGGCGTCTCTCCCCTCCGACAAATTGCAGCGCATTCGGGACATCACCAAATCATACTGCGAGCAACAAATCATTACAAAACAACAGCTGCTCTCCCTTCTAGGACACCTCAACTTCGCCATGCGAGTCATCCCCCAGGGGCGCTCGTTCATCTCCCGCCTCCTGGACACAGCATCAGCGGTCGACAATCTCCATGACCGCGTCCTCTTAGACGAAGGCTGCCGCTCAGACCTACGTTTCTGGTCTTTCCTGCTCGCCCACTGGAACGGAGTCACTTTCTTCTATGACGACCTCGTGTGTTCCTCCGATTCAATGAGGTTCTTCACGGATGCCGCCCCATCCGTGGGTTTTGGGGGCTTCTTTCAGGGCGAGTGGTTCGCAGGGCCTTGGCCCCCGTCATTCCCTAATCATGCCTCATCCTCCGCTCTGCACGAGATATTTCCGATCGCCGTTGCATGCCACGTATGGGGTCACCAGTGGTTCCGTAAACGCATCTCGGTGCTGTGCGATAACCAATCAGTGGTCGAAATCATCAATAAAGCGCGCTCCCAGTGTAGCGACATCATGCCATTCATGAGAAGCATCACGCGGTCCTCCATTATCCACAACTTCATCATCACAGCTCGTCACATTCCCGGTCACCTCAATGTCATCGCTGACTCCCTCTCTCGCTTTCATTTCCAGACATTCCGGAGCCTCTGCCCGGAAGCCAGCTCGCAACCAGTCGGAATCCCTCCACTTCATCTCCTCTCTCTGCACTAACCGAGAGTCCCCTAGCTCGGCACCTTGAGTCGGCCAGATTCTTCATGAGAAAGGGCTTAGCCGCTTCCACCCTCAGATCCTATGATTTCGCATGGAGAACGTTCGCTTTTTTCTGCCGCTCAGTAGATGTCCCCCTCAAACCTGTCCTCATCTCCACCGTGTGCGCCTTTATGGGCTACTGCACCACCGATCGACACCTCAAACCCCTGTATATCCGGAGCCTCCTAGCAGGAATTCAATTTAACGTTCGATGCTCTGATCCTAGCTTTCCCAGCCTACTCTCCAACCCTACCGTTAAACTCATCCTTAAAGGGCTGTACAAGACGTTTCCCCCCGCTGCAGACCCGAGGCTCCCCATCACGCTCCCTGTCCTGCGTCTCATGCTGTCCACACTCAGGAAAGGATTATTCTCCCCCTATCTCGACGCACTGCTCGATGCCGTATTCCTACTTGCCTTCTATGCGCTCCTCCGACCCGGCGAATTTACCACAGCTTCCCTCACGTTCGACCCCAGCCAAGACGTCTGCCTCTCCGACCTAGTCTTCAACACCAACCACTTTAGTCTCAGCCTCAAACACTCAAAATGCGGAGGAGCCTGCTCAGTCATCGCGGCTCGCATCAATTCCCCGTTCTGCCCTTTTAATTCCATGATTAAATTCCTGCGCTGCAGACCCCCCACCAATCCGTCCTCACCACTTTTTCTCATCAAAGGAAATGCCCCCCTAACGCTGCGACTGTTCACTTTCTACCTCAAGCAAGTCCTCACTAAGTCCGGCATATCACCTACATCCTACTCAGGACATTCCTTTAGGATAGGTGCAGCCACCTCGGCTGCTAATCAAGGTCTCTCCACCTCATCCCTTCAACAATTAGGACGGTGGTCCTCCTCCGCCTTCGCAACCTACATTCGCCCGGACATCAGCACCGTACTGGCTTCCCAAAGATCTCTCGGACCCTAATTATGGTATTTATGCATATAACTGGTGGTGGCTCATAAACACATTCATAAGTATACATGTCTAACTAAGGTACCTGATATTCAAACTGCATTCCTGTCCTAGTCCGCGGGCCCCGCCCACAGGGAATAACTTCTCGTCTCACGCGCACCTCCACGTAACGGGCTCCATCTCCCGGACACAGGTATCCAAATCCCAGGCTCTCGCTCAAACGTGTCAGTGTAAAGATATATCCTATGAAGTCAGGCGTGGCGGAAGGCCACCGTACACCTCGGTGTCAGCTACAAAACAAAGGAAAGAGAAAGAAAAGATATATATATATATATAGCCTGCGAAGTCAGGCGTGGCGGAAGGCCACCGTACACTTCGGTGTCAGTTACAAAACAAAGGAAAGAGAAAGAAAAAGATATATATATATATAGCCTGCGAAGTCAGGCGTGGCGGAAGGCCACCGTACACTTCGGTGTCGTAGCGGAAGGCTACCGTACACTTCGGTGTCAGTTACAAAACAAAGAGTAAAGAAAAAAAGATACATATATATATATATAACCTGCGAAGTCAGGCGTGGCGGAAGGCCACCGTACACTTCGGTGTCAGTTACAAAACAAAGGAAAAAGAAATAAAGAAAAACATATATATATATATATAGCCTGAGAAGTCAGGCGTGGCGGAAGGCCACCGTACACTTCGGTGTCGTAGCGGAAGGCTACCGTACACTTCGGTGTCAGTTACAAAAAAAACAAAGGAAAGAGTAAAGAAAGATATATATATATATATATAACCTGCGAAGTCAGGCGTGGCGGAAGGCCACCGTACACTTCGGTGTCAGTTACAAAACAAAGGAAAAAGAATAAAGAGAAATATATATATATATATATAGCCTGCGAAGTCAGGCGTGGCGGAAGGCCACCGTACACTTCGGTGTCGTAGCGGAAGGCTACCGTACACTTCGGTGTCGTGGACGTTGGGCCACCGTTACAAAACGAAACCGCTCGCTCCTCGGCGTAGTCAAGCCCTGCTGGCCAGGCATGCGACCCGCAGGTCGTTTTCAGATAAGACCGGCACTGATTTCGGCAGTCAGAGTCTCAGCATGACCAGTAAGCTCCGGCAGTGATTCCGGCACAGTGTCGCTCATATACGTGTTAATCTATTATCTCTCCTCCCCAGATCACCAGTCACCCCACAAGGTAAGCAACTCAGTTCATCTCAGTATTCATACTTCACTGGTTTTGGGGATTTCATCGGAGCGGTGCTTTCCCTCCTGAATGATTATCCTGCAAACCGGGGGCCTAATCGCCAAACACCATTACATTCTCCTGTTGTACTATCATGGCAATCATTTCATTCATATGACGTGTAAACAATAAATATGTAATTCTTACATCACGTCTCTCCGGGTTGAAATGAAAGCTTTAGCGCAAGTTCAATAAGGAAGACCTAACTCGAGTCACTCACACGTCACTCTATGGCTCCCTTCCCCCCTCATTAAATATGAGGGCGTCACGCCTCAGCAGCCAATCGCTGCACATGCTAAATGCCTTAAATACCTGCTCTTCCTCCCTGTCAGTTGTCATTGCAGATGATCACACGCAACCCGCCTCCACCCCTCTCGCCTCCTGTCTCCTTCAGGACAAAGCTAAACCTTCCTCCTTCAGACCGGTCTCACCTACTCATCACCACCACCAGTGTCTAGACCCCGGGGATTTCATCGGAGCGGTGCTTTCCCTCCTGAATGATTATCCTGCAAACCGGGGGCCTAATCGCCAAACACCATTACATTCTCCTGTTGTACTATCATGGCAATCATTTAATTCATATGACGTGTAAACAATAAATATGTAATTCTTACATCACGTCTCTCCGGGTTGAACTAAAATAATGCTGGCCAACCTAACATATCAACAAAGGCTTCACTAAAAAATCCTCATATCAGGACCACTTTTATAAACTAAATTAAAGTCCTTGTTAATTATTTGAGGACACGTGCAATTCAGGCAGTTTTGCAATATTATATTGCTTCAACGTTCTAAGATGGACCATTTTTAAAGTTACCAAACTAAAGTGTAAAGAAATAGTATAGGTACAATCTCAGAGTTTGGCGCACTGGTTTAAATATCAACCCTTAACTTGAAAGTATAGTTTTATAAAGTAATTTTCATTTTAAATGATTGAAAATGTAACGCATTTTTCCATAATTGTAAACTGCAATATATTTTGTTTTTCAAAACAAGACATTTGAAGACTAACCTTGGATATGTTTTTATAAATGTCTGAGATTTTTAATTCTAGTCTAATGGAAAATGAAGTTATGTGTTTGAATTGAATGTCTGTCATTCTCCTTTTTTATTAACATATTCTTTCCGAAAGAAAAATCCAATTAAAGCACACAAAGCCCTTCAGCCGGCAAATATAAAGGTCTGTAAAATGAAAGAACTAAAGTGACATTCTTTATATT